AAAAAAAACTTGAAGATGATGATTATGTTTTTATACAATTTTCAAGTGAACATTTGCCAAAGGATCATCATATTATGAAAAATATGGAAAATTTTTTAATTGAAATTATCGAAAAACTTGGCGGTCAATGTTTAAATGATAATGAAGAAAAAAATTCTATTGTTTGGCATGCTCAACCAATACAAGCATCTAGCGATAGAGAACAAGCTGAATATATAGCATTATTCGTTCTAGAACCAGATCAATTTAGTGATGGACAATTAGAAATCATTCGATTATCAGATATATTACAAATTTTATCATTAGAAACAACAGAAAAGTTACTTAAAAATAAAATTCAAATAAAGATATCAGAAGAATTTCGAAAATCATCAAATATTGATCATATAAATGTACCAATTTTAATAGATCATAATAGAATTCGTTATACATTCGATATGTCATCGGGAGAAAATAATGAAGAATTAAATGAGCTTAATTTAATAATTAACACAACTGAAAAATATATACCAAAATTAAATAAATATACAATGATTATTTTAAATAATCAAACATATATTTATGCTACAACTAAAATTCTTGATAATTATTGTCATTTACTTCGAATCAGATTTAATCGACCATTACCATATAATATTTTTTCTGTTTATGACCAAGCTAAATTACTTCGGGAATATTTAACATTTTCAAATGAATTTTATGATTATTTTGATAATCAACATGAAAATTTATATAAAATATTAAGTTTAATTGTTAAACAATATAGTCAACCAACAGGTTTAGGTGAAGAAATTCGACAAACTTTTCAATTTAATTCAAAAATTCATTATATTCTAACACAATTAAATATTCATCGACCAGATATTCAAATAGGAACTTATCGTCCAGATATTATTTTTGGTCATGGCAATTTATTTAAATTAAATGGAATTTATTCATTTCAACCAAAAATGTGTGAAATTAATGCACGATTTCCATTTAATGGATATTTTTTATCAGCTAGTTTATGTTCAACTGATAATCAAAATAGATTTTCAAAAAAATATTCCAACCTAATTGAAACAATAATAAAATTATCAAAATTTGATACAAAAAAACCAATGTTTATTCTTAAATCTAAAGAATATGGTTATGATATTCATTTATTTCAACAATATTGGACAAAAAAATATTCTCAATCATGTTTATTTATTGATCCAAAACAATTAATAATTGAAAATCAAAATTTATTTGATAAAACTACAAATTATTCTATTGAACAATTTATTCTTGAATTACATCAAGATGAAATTTTACAATTATCTGATGAAATTATTGAATTATTAATTAAAAATAAACAATTAAATTATATGAATGATCTTCGCACAATATTTATTGTACATGATAAACGTTTATTTTCACTTTTATCAAATCAACAATTTCTTTATGCTTTAGTAAATAATTCACAGAATACATTTACACAATTAATACCAATAACTTATGTTATTAATAAAATCCCTTATTATTTAAAAGATTCTATTATTAATAATAAACAAGAGTGGTGTATTAAACCAAATTTAGCTGGAAAAGGCGAAAATGTTACTATTGGTACGATTATTTATTAAGTAGATTTTTTTCTTATTAAAAATTGCAAATTATTTTATTTAGGTGTTGATGTAACATTAGATGAATGGACTTGTCAATTATTAGATTCAAATCATGAACAATGGATTATTCAACAATATATTCCATGTATACAATATCAATCAATGAATATATCTGGTATGTTATTCTGTTTTAATGATCAATGTTTTAATATTGAAACGATTCGAATATCTTCAAATAAAATTGTTAATATTTCTAATAGAGGTTATTTTATTCGTCCATATGTACATCAAGAATATATTCATTCTATGAAAGATGGAAGTATTTTAACTAAAGAAAAATTACATGAACAATTAATTGAATTAAAATCTATTGATAAACAATGGAATCAAAATATTTATGTATCATCATCTGGTGGTAGTGGAGGAAAACGTTTATTTTTTGCAACAGATATCAAACAAAATCTATTACAAAGACAAATTTTAGTTAATATGATGCTTGAACAAAATATTATATCTCATAATGATATTTGTTTAAATGTATTTCAATCAGATAATATTTATCGATCATTTGAAATTTTTAATGATTTTTGTTCAATGGCTAATTGTACAACATTACCAATGAGTGCAAATGCAAATGATGAAGATATTTTCGATGTAATTGAATATTTTAAACCAAATATTCTTATGGGTTCACCACATCGTTTAATGCAATTAGCATTTTCTATTGAAAAACAATCAAGAAAAGAATTCAAATTTGAAAAAATCTTTTTTGCATGTGAATCACTTGATGATATTAAGCAAAAATTTTTCAAACATATTTTTCATTGTTCAATTTATATTGGTTTTTATGGTTCAGCTGAAACAGGTGTATTTGCTTGTCAATCACCAAAATATTCATCAACAAAAATTTATCTTTATCCAAAAGAATTAGTTCATATTGAAATAATAAATTCAAAAATAATTGTTACAAATTTAATTCGAAAACGAAATCAATTAATACGCTTTGATATTGGTGATCTTGGACGAATAATTTCAAATGATGAAAATGATAAATATGGTTTAATTGAAGTATTTCATAGTCAACGATTAATTATGATTGAAAATGAAACACTTTCAAAATCAGATATTGAAGAAATTATGAAACAAATAAATTTAATTGAATGGCAATTAATTATTGATTATGTTTCACATACAAAAAATAATCAAATACTTCTTTTATTTCGATGTGTTAAATCTGAATTAATTTCAATTGATAGTGTTGAAAAAAATATTCGAAATAATTTACAAAAATATTTTGATACTGTATTATCGAATCTTTCCGAACACTTAATTCTTCAGTTTGAATCAATTCAATTTAAAGATTTAATTAGAGATAAAATATCGAATAAACTATTAAAAATTATAGATAGACGTGTTTAATTATTGTTATTATTTTTTTGTTAATTGAAACACATATATAAAATACATTATTCAAAGTTAAAAGAGGATGTGAGTGTAGATGGAAGTTTTCTTTTCTTGAACACATCCTACACGTATACCCACCCACATCTTGTTTGAACTGCTCAAATTTTATTCATGATTTTTCCATGTGAACTGTTGAAAAAGCGTGTATATGAAACTTAGAAAACAAGAATTTTAAGATGAAATTTCGTCCATACAGAGATCGAATAATCTTTAGAATGACCTGAAATGTGTATAATCAAGATTAATGATATTTTTCTACGATGCTATATTTTTATAGAATCTTTTTTATTAAAGCCTGTTCAACCTATTTATAGATCAATTTTATTCTTGATAGTGCTTTTCTTCAATTATAGACCTATTCAGTGGGATTATTTTAATCGAACTTTTTGGTGCACCATGTATTATTTACGTCTTGATTAATTTTTGTCAAAACATAAAACAAAAGTTGAATATACGAAAATATTTATTCGAAAATGAATTTATAATAGTGACTGAATTCATTCGTTACAACAGTAGAAAATATATCAAAAAGTTGAAAATTTTAATTTACATTAATTCAATGTTCTTTTATTTTATCTATCATTTGAAGTGACACAAAACTTGAGAAAGTGAATGAGTATATTCAGAACAGTTTATTTTCTTTTTCATTTCTTGCATGAGTATACGATAAAATATGTTGAATATATGATTACAGTTAATAATATATAGCTTTAGAAACAATACCGACACAACATTCAAAAATAGTTTATTCAATTTCATTCTTTATCGTTTCAGAGAAAGCAAAGGGTATTGTTTCTAAATTTTGTGACTTGTTGTGACGTTCTTGAATTTCCAGAATGACATAGCTGATCATGGTCACTGTCAAATAGACTGCTTGCAGGATAATTGATGTTCGAACACAAAGCAATCCACCATAGAAATAGACGACAAGATTACCCGCATTCTGACTTAAAACCATGTTTGAGAAAGCAGCATCTTCATTTCCAGGAAATAAAGTACCGTGCAAAACTAAAATCAATTAATTGTTGAACGAATTAATCAAGAAATAGCTTAACATGATTCCTCAATTCCAAACTGATATTTTGTCTCTGATAGGTTAAGTTTGTTTTAGCTGAAAATTATTACGCAAAAAAACATTTTTTTCTATTCAAGTTTTTGATAAACTCTTGATAAGAAGATCAAAAGTTCAGTAAAATTGTTGAGTAAAATATTAGTTCAAAAGGAAAGAATCGCTTCGATAATTTTCTTATACAACTTATCTAGATAAAAATCATACCCGATAAAAGTGGGCCCCATATGGCACTTGCTACTCCACTGAGACTGGCCATAATGAATAAGATATGGATTTGAGAAGGAAGTGGTTTCCATAATAGCATAATTATTAATAAAGCATACCATATGATAAAAGCTATCAGAGACCATTGTAAACGACTTTTCAGCTTCACGACATAGGCAACAATAAGGCTGAAAATACATGATGTAATACCAAATGCAATCATAACCAAACCTGTTTCGATGATTTACGAGTGGAACTAAAAACAGTGCATAATATGTCTGAACTTACCAACATATTGAACACCTACAGAGCATGTGACAAAGCTCTATAAAATAAATATTGTATTGTTGCTTAGTAAAGAAAAAGAGTTTACATTTGTAAAGATGCCAAATATGAATGCTTCCGAAGCGCCAACTAAAAATGGTAGTGGAAGGAGAATGATTTGCTTAGAACTTTTCATGTGTTTCAAAGTTGTTGTTATATAGACAAGTGATTCATGAATTAATTCTGTTGAAGTAGATGCTGAAATACGTAAGTCATGTGATAGTAACCAATTGATAAGAAAAATTCATGATACACTTACTTTTCAATTGTCTTCTTTGGTCAAGCATCGTTGCTACAAGGATGAGTGAAATGACAATTAAACTTACAAAAGTCATATATAAGAATAAAGCCTATGAATGCAATGCACAAATCATAGAATATGCTGTCGATCTTCTTACTGTTTTATACGATATTTGTTTAGTAATACGAGCAGATGGACCTTGTTCGCTATCTAAATAATTGGCACCACATAAGGTGACATTTTTTGGAATAGAATTGTTTGGATCATTTTGCAAGATAATATATGATATTAAATTTCCCCAAATTTGACCTTTGAAAAACAATAGAAATTCTTGAAGAATACTCAACATTCTATCCTACTGCTTTGAAGTGCTGAAAAGAAAATAGCGAAATATTTGTTGACTGCATATTTTGTATCGTCATCACTTTCATTACTATTTCCCAAAGCTGCAACGTAGGCAGATTGTGCCGTTCCAAACGCAGCTCGAGAAATACCACAAAGAGCCGATGCTACAAAGTGCAAAAATCATCCGTAATTTGCATTTTTTATCTCCAAAGAATATATTTAAAAAAAAATACCTGGATACATCAGCCATGCTTTTGGATAGATGTTGGCAGCAATGAAGACAAGAAATGTAGTTTGTGCCATAAACATCGTCCATTTGTAACCGCAAAGAAACATAAGAGGATTTGTTATGAAGAGACACGATAGAATGGAACATGCAGAATTAATAGTTAATGCGTAGAAACCAATATTCTTGTGATAATTGATGCTCGATTGCAAGTTGATAACAGCATTGTATGAGGTAAAAACGAGAGCAAACGTTAAGCAAATGATCGTAAAATTTCTCTTTATCGAACTCGAATCAATCCGATAACTTTTTATACTATTCGATTCTTTGTTTTCCACGTTTGACTGTTCATTGAACTTTTGCATTTCGATTAGTGGTATTCAATTACTAATAACTATTGAAAATACAAATAAGATAAGTAGAGTTGAAATAAAATAGAATCGCTTGTTTTATTACTCTCCCAAGATGACTAGATAAGAACTTAACTATCTGTCAAGTTCTTACCTTTCAGATTCTATTGATAGCGTTGCTTATTTTTCCAAGTAAAGAGACTTGTCTATCTACACTCATTGCACTCAACATTAAACTATTTAGTTTTCGTACTCAGTACTCCACCATTAAGAGTTCAGATGGTGGAAATAATTTTTTCTTTCTCTTTCTTTCTTCAGATAATGTAAAACTAGCTTCTATACATGATTCATTCAGAACCAATGTTCTCTGTTCCATGTTGAAATAATAATAATAATAATAAGTAATATTCCTCATCCCTCAACATATGAAACAATGTAATAGTGACGCAAGCAACTATGCAAGCGAATAGAGCGATCGATAATAGAACAGTGCTTACTAGCAAAGACAATATAGTAATATTGTTGAGCATTTACGTCATTAAATGAACTATTTTTAATTAATGACAATATTAGTAGTCTGAGCTTATTTATCATTTTTTACTTGTATGAAAAAAAAAGTGTAAGCTTTCTTCCTCTAGTACCGTTGACAAACACATAAATGCAAAAGGAAAAAAAGAATAGTCATTGCGTCGGAATGTTTACCAACGATACTAGAGAAAGAAAAAAAGAAAACAAATAGTTTATATACCATCCTAACTCTTGTCATTTTTCCTTTGTGTTTAAAAATGATCTATGAAACACATCGAAACTTTACGATTTTTCTTTTTGCATAAAAATAAAAAATGATGAACGAACTCGTACTTCTACCATTATTATTAATATCTTTCAACTAACGATTATATTATTATACCAACCAAAATAGAAATGATTCTACTTCGCCGCTCTATTCTTGAATATTCTGTTTCTGCAAAAAGAAACTTTTGGAAGAAAAGAGGAAAAGAAGAAGAAGAAGAAGAGAAAAAGGTCGAGTGGGTGCCAGTCCAAGATAGAAGACATTCAACTGTTTTTTGTAGCCGCATAATTCTTGTGTTCAAAGATTGATAACGGGTTGCTTGTGAGAATGAAGGCTTTTTTTGGTTGACTCATTTTGTTATCCATGTTCATTGATGAAGTGCTGAATATATATATATATGTAATTTGCATTGATCTACTCTTAATTCTCACTTCTTTGATAAGCATCAAATTAAACAGTTTCATTTCTTTTTCCACACAAAGGAAAACTATTGTTGGTGATGAGGAATGTCATATTTAGATAAAACAAAACTATAAACACCACAAAATACTATCGATTTGTAAAGTCACTTCGTATGAGAGATGATGGAATACTTGTTGTTCTTTTATCAAAAGAATCTTTTTTTAAAGGTAATTCATTGAGTAAGCAAGACTTCTTCAAAAGTTATGGAAATAGTAACCCTAATGGTAATGAAATTTTCAATGGGCTATCCAACGTTGTCACTAAAAATATGGCATCAAGAAAAATTGAATCATCATCGTCATCCCATTATGTCAAGTGACATTTTAGCTAGATATATTTTATGACTTTTCCTATTCTTTTTCTTTACTCTATAACTCTTTTTTTGCTATCGTACCACTTGAAATGCAGTTCTTGGTTTTTGGTTTTGATATTTGATTTGATAGAATGTAAAACTACAATGTGAATTTTTCAAACAAATAATAAATTAGAAAATCTATTTCAAAATAAAAGAAGGGTTGTTGTTTTTCGAATAATTCTCCAACGGGAACAGCTATTAACTCGTAATCTTCACCATTAGAAAAAGACTAACAGTGTGCATCTCTGTAAACAATAGTAAATAAAGTCAGCTCACAAGTCTGATCAGTAGTCATCAAAACTCAAAGAAGCATCTAAAATTCGTGATAAAATGTATAGAATTTCATTTCTAAGGAATGTGATAGACTAGCTCATTTCAGACCTACAACCCTCAATCAACATGAACTTCAAACAACTCTGTTTGCATAATTTTTTCAAGATTAAGCAATTCGATATCTATCAACAAAATATTAGATGATCTTACATCTCATTTCGACTATTCTATTCGTAAACCACGATGAAACAACATACTTTTACATGTTGAATATCTTTTTATCATGTTGGATTGGGTTAGAGAGACATCTATTCGAATAATGAGGTGGTAGAAGAGTTCTTTTTCCTACTAACACACACTCAACCATGTTTTACTACTAAAAGTTGCAGAAAAGAATCAAGCACATTTTTTACGACATTTTCTTAATTTTATAAGATATATTTTTATTCCTTTTTGATTATTTTTATACGATAATCGACTTGAAATGATAGAGAAAAAAGATTTTATTTTCCTTTACTTCGATATAGTTTGAACCATTGTTATTCTTGCGCAAAACTACACATAACTAATGTGCTTGTTGTAAGAACAAACTGGAGAAGTAGCTTACCACCTTTCTCTCGGTAGCAACATTTATAAAAAAAGAAAAATATGAAGCTATTAGTGACACATTGATATCGATATCATCATACTTCTCAGAATATTCGATGTAGGTGAATTTAGTATTGATAAAATACATAACTACTAAAAGGATCTAGAATAAATATAAAAGAAAAAGCAAAGATATTGCAATATTTCTTTTGATGGTATTAACTCATAATAGTTTTCTTTCGCGAAAAAATAAAAATAAAAGAGACGTTCAATAGAGATTTGTTTTGGTTTCATTTTAAATTGGGTATGTCAATGTCATCCAAAATGAATTGTGTTCCATCACCGTTCAGATCTGGATACAATGTACCACCTGCTGAACTAAATATTACTCGATCTATATCAAACCATTTTAATATATACAAAGTTGTTTTAGATGTAACTTGTAATTGTACGACTGTCTGATAGATAAGGGCATTTTCTCTTCTGCCTTGTATCGTCAACATCAAATTTTTTCTTCATGCAGCAGCTAAAACAACTGAATTCAACTGAAAATATTGATCCAATGGAACACTCATCGGCATCTGTTGACCATTGGCATTGAAGGCAACAAAAATCTCACTATTTTGCCCAGCTACATATCCATTCCAACTATATGTCACACTTTCCCAATTTGTATTCATAAACAGCGCATTAGCTCAAGTAACCAACGACTAAAGTCAATCGTCACATCATACATGCAATAATTATGTCAGTTTTTTTTCCGAAAATGAACATAAATTATTGTCCAACTTGTTTTTGTTTATTAATATTGGTTAGTTCTTTTGAATATCGACTTCTTCAGCAGAATTCATGAGTAAAGCAATGGCTAAAACTTAAACGAATCGAATTAAATGATTCCAGAACATATAAGGTAATTCATTTCAATTTCAGGTGATCGAAATGACAGACCAATTGGTTTCATCTCACTCTTTTTTTTCTACATGGGAATTGACGACAGGAAAGAAACAAAACCAGAAGAAATGATTGTATGTTTCATTACAGTGTATGTGTTATAGTATGGTGTAGGTCGCTATGCACTATGTAAGAAAAAAAGCTCGCATGTGCAATTCTTTCTCTCTTTCAGTGCAAAAAAAATGTACATTGGAGTTCGTATGCTTGTTTCTGTTTAGTTTACAACGATTACCATTTTCTTTTGCATGCGCACACTTCACTTTCCTTTGTATAAAAGGATGCAAAATTTGGAGAATTGTGACACTTGATGCATTCTTTGCGACTATAGAATCTATTCATTTCGAATTTCTTTCGGCTCTTGATTTGGGACATAAAATACTTCGAATACAATGAATACTACAACTACCGAACAACCGTTCAGTGATTTGCGTACAAGTGAAAATCGTTTCTCTGATGTAGTGGCAACAGACAACGATAACAAAGATCAAACAACTACGAAGACTACAACTTCTTCAAAGGACTCTTGTCAGACGTGTCTTGATTGGTGTAAATGCTGTTTAGACTGTTGCGATTTATTTTTGTGTTGTCTTCGATGTTTGCGATAATGAATGTTCAATAATTTCTTTAAAAAAATATTACTCATCAACTTGCAGTTGAATTTTCTATACACAATAACTAGCTTAATGCACTCAAAAAGGTTGCTGTGGCATACAAATCTCTAACGGTTTAGTAAGAATATACGAATTCTATCACTAATATATTTGCTCAAATTTTATCGAGACAATGAAAAACTGATGTTGATGAATGTCAGTATCTGCTTGGTATCGAAACAAAATCCTTCCAAGTTTTATCTGCTTAAGTTATCTTGACATGGTGAGTGAATATAAGATGAAGCTGTTATAGGTCACACTGATGAATAAACGGTATAAAATCAGATTTGATTTTCTCAAGCAATATTCATTTCTCTGATATTTCAACGATAATGCAGACTCATACTCACATTGAATGTGGGGTATCGATGTGGGTGTGTGTAAATGTGGATTAATAGAAATGAGAACATCAGAAATCAAGTCAAACTCTTGGAAAGGACATGGCAAAAGAAAATTTGTTCATAAATTAGTGATTATACAGAAATCGTTCCCATGATCAAGTTATCGAAGCAGCTTAAAGTGAAAACTATCTGAAACAAATGATTGCCATTTAAGCTTCATTATCTGAAAAACCTATTTCGAGCGAATTGAAACTGATTTTTAAAAAAAAGGGATTACGGGGCTGAAAGTAGGTCGATTAATCGATTATACGGTATTTTGGGAACCACCAAAAGAATTCTAATCCGATTAAGCTCACATTTTCACCAATTATTGTCGTATATGTAATTTAGTGTTGATCATAGCGCCGTGTCGTGCCCATGAACAAAACTAGAGTTAGTGGTTTCCTAAAAAAACAAACTTCTGCTGCAGAATCGTTAGTTTTGAGAATACAGAGGCATTTTGGCGCGAAACCAAAGCGACATTCGGAAGTACCTCGCCGAGCTGCACCGAATGATATATAACAGATAGGGCTTTTCAAAAAAGAAAGCTCAACTTTTGGACTCAAAGAGATTCTGAAAACTAGTCTTTTCGTATTTTGTAAACTCCCAAAACAATTTTTATCTAATTGATCACAAACTTGCACGAATTATTCATCTGCATCTGATTCATCATTGGCAATAGCTCCACTTCGCATCACGAAATACAGCTAGTATTACGAGTTTCTCGAAAATTGAGATTTTTGTGAAGAAGGCATCATTTGAAAGAAAAACATTTTCACTTTTATGCCAAAAATGTTCCGGAAAATTGGCTTTCTCGTTTTTCTAAATGTTACAAACAGCTCCAATTAAATTCAGCTCAAGCTTTCAGTAAATATTCCTCTATATGGAATCTAGCGTTGGTTACGGTGCCGCATAGCACCAGTGAATGTGAATTAACTTATGAATTTGAAAAAATTCCTCGCTTTTAACTCTAAATTTCTGTTTTTGTCCTTAAAATAATATCCTAGAGAAAAATTAACGTGATATTCGCAATTGATGCGTGAAACATGGACGAATAATGTACGAGAAAGAGATATTTCGTAACAAAAATTTTTTTTCGAAAAATGGTTTGTTTTCTTAAAGATGATATTCTAAGCGATAATGTGGATCATTTCTTCGCTGACACACTTTTTCTATCGTGGTATACAAAAAATTGAATTAACATCTATGTATAGAAACGATCAACATGTAATTACGCAGTTAGAAAGTTTTATGATCTTCTCATTTGTAAAACATGATGCACTGTGTGCTGAAATAAGATTATTAATGGATAATACACGATGATCAAATAGTTTATTGGTGGAGTTTACTCAATATTTCAAAAGACAAAAGATCACATGTGTACCAGCAAACCATTCGAATTTTAGACCGATTCATCATCTGTCTAAAAATGGTGTTGAAGGTTTTAGATAACTATCAGAGTTCAGCTTTGAATGGAATGAGAAGTTTTTTTTCAAATAATAATATATTATGTGTATTGTTTCTAATACTATTTTGGCATATATAATAGTCGACATCAACATTAATTTGGTATTCACACAGAATTATGCAGTTTTATATGGCTTCTTAAAGGTGAAGAATCATTAGTAACGATGAGAGCTATACAAGTGCGACTTGGTGATCATCGTCATAAAACCAAACGATTTTTACTTGGCAGTCAATGTGTACGACAAAAAACAAAACAAATCCAAAACTTATCTCGTTTGTATGAAACTGATACAATTAGTTTAAAACAATATTTGACGAGTTTATAGTATCTCGTTGGTGATTCAACGTCAGTTGAACATATGGAAAAGAATAATATAAAATGGACTCCAACTGTCACGAATAATGCTGTTGATAATGGCAATGTTGATTAGTTAAAGTTCTCTTGAACTTGCATGTCTTTCTTTTTGTATTGTTCGTCAATTTTGATTTTGTTCGAGAAAGATACGTTATGTTGAGAATACTTTCTTTCTAGTATTTTGTTTTCTTCATTCAACTTCTCATGTTAAGCTTATTTCTTCACCAGCTATGTGAGTTTTCTTTGTTTGCTTTTTTGTGCTACTAAGCAAAAAACAAAGATTGCCATGCGATACTGAGTATACTAACAAAGTATTTCTTTGGGTTTTTTTATTAACCCAGAAATAAAGGGATTTGTGTTTCAATAAAATGCAATAGTTGTAGCAGTGGCATATATTGTCTGAATTCCAATGGCATTTGGACAATAAAATATCCAGCAAGAACTGATATTGTCGTCATTCTTAAAGAATCTCAATAATTGTGAAAAATGAACAAGATTGTCCAACATCCACTAGAATTTGTACATCGTCAAAATTCCAATGGCGAATTTCCTATTGTGTAAATTCCACACAGGGCTAACTTCCATTACATGCCTATAAAATATTTGATATTTTGTCAATCCTGTGCAGCGGTTGGAAAAAACCAAGTGAAACCGTGATATTATGCATATTTTTACAAACATACGCTTCGCTGTCTCTTGCCGTCGATTAAGCTATTCGATTAACATGTGGTAGAATAAGCAAGACAACAAATATCTTTTCAATATATTATCATTGGCTGTTTTACATATACGAATGAATATGTAAAAGACAACATTTATTTCGTGATACATACATAGGTAACATAATATTTTCGTCTCACGTATAGAACAACGTCAATGCAATACATAGTTATTTTAGTCGTGGGCATACAAGATTGTGCATGAACATAACGAGCAAATTTATACTTTTTGAAGGTGCAATCTGTTTAGAATTACTTTTGCATAATCAAAATCGAGTAGTTTTTCTATCCTTAAGTAGTGCCACAATCTATATGGTATTATTGTCGTGTCATAGTAGTTATTCTCCTGGCCACGAAAATATTCCGAAGTTCTGTATTAAGTGAATTGCAAATATTAATTTCTATATAGTCACATTTTTCACAAAGCGTCTTTAGCAAGAATAATCAATCCACTTTGTGAGTTGCAACGTAGAATAAAATCGTTCAGAATTTTATACTTTTGACATTCGAACAGGTTCGACCTCGCTGTAAATTATATATGATGCTATACATAAAACAAGTGCTTTCGGAAATTTCATAGCAGCTATTCTCTGTGACTGGGTGTGGGCAAAATGGAAACTTACACCCATTCTTGCATATCCAAACGAAAGCTCACCCTCATGCCCCCACATACTTTGAAGATGTTATATTAAAATCAGCCCAAGTTTCAATTTTCTTGCATGTTATGCATCTGTCGATCTTTGTAATGCTATAAAGAGATTCATGTTTCAGATAGATATTGAAAGCAATTAAACGGTGGTCTTTATCACATTAACGGCATGACGGACGAAGATATACTGCTTAATGATGTCGAAACGGCCAAATTAATTTCGACCAAGTCATTTTCACCATCTTCCACCACAGAAGATCGTGTTGGTCTTCTCGTGTTGGGATCGAATTTGGCTGAAATAGATTCTATTCATTCGATGCTACAAGCAGAGTTTCCGAATCTCACCATCAAATGTTACACAGAGCATGAAGACTGTCTCAGTCGCATCCAAGCATGGACAAGATTTGATATTCGTGTTCTTCTAATTGTCACATCGGTCTCTCTAGCGACTACTCATATTTTGCCTTATGTTGACAGTAACGATGTAGCCGTGTTTATTCTAGACAATACAGATCGTGAACATGGAGAACTCTGGGATCAATATCCGTCACTTGTCGATGTATATACAGAATTGAAAGAGTTTATAGAAAATCTTCGTGAATATGTTTATCTCGATGAGGTATATCAGCTGAAGGGATCTGACTGGTATCTGCACACCTTGTGCAGTCTTTTTGTTCCTTGCACGATCGTATGTTGTCTCTCGAAACGATGTCGACAATGGTTTTGGTACAGACAACCTACAACTAGACGACTTTTGTGATTAGAATTCATATGCGTGACACTACATTTTCAAATGAAAAAATAAAGACGTTATTGATGCATGCATCTACTTAGTGATAGCAGTATTAAGTTGGTTCAGCTTTCAAAATCAGAATTTGCTTTCTTATCACTAGATATAAGAGAGCTACGGGCCACATATTTCAATAAATAAATTTTGCTTCTTTAAAGCGTGGGGAGTAATACTCTCTTTGCCAATTTCACGTCCTACACCCGGTGTTTTCCGTTAAAGATTCACCCAAGCTCGACAATTCATTGCAAATAGAAATGTCTTCTATGCAATTTTCCACGCACTATCTTTTGGTAGACTTTCGATCAAGTTTTCGAGTTTAAATTTTCATGGAAAAAAAAAGCTTTCAATTTATCAAGCATCGACTAATGACAAAAACTCGGTTGAGTCACCAAATCTCCTGAAGACTTCATTTTGGAAATGTAAAATTCTGTCGCTAACTCATGAACTGTCTCTTTAGATTACAAAGTTCCAGAATAAATCGATAGTGGTTTATTCAAACAAGATAACTGTTGCAAGTAGAAAAATAATTATTAGTTAACATTGATCATTCATTGAATATTTATTCGTTTGTTGGATTCTTCGGTGGTGATGCTAGTATATTAGTACGTTTGACTGAACTTGCTCGACCGGTATTACTAGCTTTTCTTAATCTGACTGCACCTGAGCGCAGTGGTCCACCAAAATTGCTACCAGGCGGATACCACTGATTCCCAGCTCCGCTTGGATAATATCCATTGTAGGGTTGTGGATTACTATAAGGAAATCCACTGTTCATGCCTAATCCTCCGTACGGTATGCCTTGACCACTACCATACAAATATGGTTGATTGTATCCATATGCTAGAACAAAAACAAAGAGGAGATGAGGCATATATCAATCTAGTCACGAACGGTTATAATTATTGAATTGATTTTGTTGATAATAGCCTTGCCAGTACGGATTCCAACCTGGAATATTTGGATTATAGGCAATACCACTCTCCGGATATGCAATGTAGTTTTGCATTCCATAGTAGCCACTTGTTGCAAAAGTATTTCCACCTGGGGCAAGAATATTTGGCCATATACCACGTCGTTTACGAAGAGCTCGACCGTCGATTCCTAAAATTGTCAATATTACGATTATGTTTGATGCATGATTCAGATATTTGAGTGAAAATAGATATTTACCAATGGTTGATATAATCAACAGGAGCAGAAACATTTCCAGCCTTAACATTATCGATCGTTTTATCTGAAGGATTGCGTGACGTGTATCGTGAAATAATTGAGATGCGCGTGTGCACAAAATTTAGATGAAGTTTATACAAAAAGAATATTAATCCATTCGATTCGATTTTTCACACTCACTTAATTTCTCTCTCTTTCTGCTCACGGCATTCTGTTCTTTTTTTTTTGCTCGCATGCTTTGATGATGAGAATGCAAGAGAGAGAAAGAAGAAGAAAGATCGACCTTGATGGTTTCGTCTGTAAGTTCTGCTAATGTGCATTTACATTCGTTTATTTATGGCGTCGCATATTTAATTCATGGCCATTGAAAGAAATATGACAAGTGTACATAAAATTACCATCATCAAGGTGAATCATTGGTTGAAAGTACAAGAGAAGCAGCCATCGTAGATGTCTGTATAAAGGCTGTGAACACCTATTATGGTTTGCTTTTGTCAGGCAAATTGTCTTGAGATGATTTCGGTTATGGATCTTAATTTTCAATGAACACCTACACACAGTTACATATTTATTCATACATCTTTTCAATCTCTTTGTTGGCATAATGTTGTTTTTTTGATAATGTTTTACTTCCAGCTGATATAGTCAATACAAGGCATCTAGACTTAATTGAAATATTTAATTTTAAATTTCATCTTGGCCAATGTTTATTCATCGACAAAATCAACTGTTATTTTTAACTGAAAAATCCGATATAACAAAAGAGTAGTTGACGTTACTGTACAAATACGGTTTTCTCATCCGATCAAATCCGGCAAGAAGATGCAGTGTTGATGGCGACAGAGTTATCTTGAAGATGGCATATAAAACATGTTCGGTATGTGTTTGTCAAATGGTTTTGGTATGAAATCTTTATTTCAGTAACTCAGAAAAGGATCCGATGCAGAACTCCTGTTTTACGAAACCAAAGAGAAGATCCTTGTATTTTTTCTTAGAGTGCAGTATCTGTAATTCTGAATGTCTACTATACATCGAACTGTTCGTTATAAGTAAAGTGAGTATGCAAGTATTTTCCCATCTGAACTTAAAACAATATACAAAAACATCAATACTCTGAAGACGATACGTATTTATTGATAGACGAGAAGAAATATGTGGAACCATTATTAATGAAGAACAGAAATATGGAAGATTTAATAGAAAAAATATGACCCAGACAAAAGACTAATTGTCTCGATCAATCAAATGCTTTAGGACGTTGATAAGACGTGCTATATGAAAAACATGACTGCGTCGTTTGCCAAATGGAAATAGCCGCATTCACACCCGGATATTCGACTAATAAATTTAATAGTTAAATAGTTCAAAAGTCGAATTATAAATTGTTTTACTTGAACATTCGAATAGAAATGTAAAATTCGTAATGATTTAACGATTTCTACACTACTGTATATTAATGTGATGTAAATCATGCGACAGTTAAAATATATTTCAATCATGATGAATAACAAATTACTACGTAAGTTATCAATTCTACTCAATATATATGTATAATGAATATAAGAACATTCGATAATATTATTTAAACAAGAAAAAAAAAGGAGTAGAATTTAAATATTTGATTATGTTCTAGATTTTGAAGAGCATTGAATATACAATTATATTATTGAGAAGAAAATTGTAAAGCAAATATTAAAATTTTTGACGGGTAACTATATTATAAAAGGCGATGATAACGAAGAAGTTCATTATATTTATTCGTTGACATCGGTCTATTTTGAACTATGACCTATTTAGTTGCCCTAGTAAATATAGATCGTAATATGATTGACAGAAAAGATATGAATATATAACATGAGTTATACAATATCTACTGCAGTAATGCTATTGAAGTTTTTAATTTTTTGCAAACAATATCTCCTCTACAATAAAAATAACTCATTAAAACCATGATAAAAAAACAAATATATTTGTCTGATTATGTTATTTTGTTAAATAAACTTTTGCTATTTTAAATAAATTGTAATAAAAATAAACAATTACAAAGTTCTTTAGAATAGAATTGATAGAATTAATTTGCCTCTTCATGATTGAAAATATACGAAAAAAAATTCATTTTTGTTTAAATAACACAATCGCTTAATTATTGAAATCGGAAGGAAATAGTTGAAGAGGTTCTCTCGACAATTATATTATTGTTGTTCAATTTATCGTATGACAATAATGCTTCTATAAATACTACGATTAATTCAAAAATAATATTAGTAGTATGATTTCAAGCTGATTATTTCTAATGATGTCAATAAATTTTTCTCGTTGTGACATTTATCATCATTGAAACAAGTGTAATTTATATATTGTTTTTAAAACAATTTGTTTTTCGTTTCACCAAAAGGTTTGATAGAAAATAAACTGACGTAGCTGTAAAGTTTTTCCACCTACGAGATTTAAAAACAAATGTGTTAGATTTTTTTTCAGAAATTTCAAATGAGTATTTATTAAAGAAGAAAAACAGACTCATAGTAATGTAAAAAAGAAATATAAAATTCTATATACTTTTTCTTTTGTAGAAAATTGAAAAAAATACAGATAAAAACTTGAAAACATTCTCTATCACTCGTACAAAAGATAGTTTATCTGATAGAACAATAAAAGAGATATTCAAATTTTTTTCCGTCTAGTGACTTTTAAGAGACATCTTGTAGATGTCTTGAGACTATCATGTTAGGTCAATATTTCCGTTTCTGTTGAGTATCATATGTCATTCATTGATTCCTTTATAGGAAAAAAAAAAGACAAATATTTTCTTAAATTAAGTCCTGTTAACATCAATCTTTAACTTAAGATCGTGAGAAAAAAAAAACAAATTTTTGGTAGTAACTTTCGCTATGAACTTTTAGACAATTACTGAAAGTCACTTTAGTAAAATTTATATTATCTAAGATAGTTTTACATTACAATAGACGTCTTACAGTTGGAAAAAAAAAGAAATAATTCTAGGTAATAAATACTATAGTCAACAATTTTGCTAGTTCTATTAAAAAACATTACAAGTGATTTGATAGAAAGAAAAAAAAAGAAACGATGATCTTATAAATCTATTATAAAAATATGCGCATTTAGAAGCATGTCCTTTCGATCATAATTCATTAAAATAATAGAAATATTCTAGCATATGCTTATCAGTTATTTTTTCCTGTTTTAATAATCATAAATTCTATTGACAAATATCTATCACTGAATACTAATTCAAATAAATAAATAAATAAATAAAAAAGAAAATATAAATATATAGAATTGTTGATTTTTCTTTTTCTGTTTTTTTTTTTTTGTTCTGAACAAAAGATTTTAGTTTAATAATGATTATATCATCAACAACATTAGCATTTGTAAATGTTTATTGATATTAATGAACTAATAGACAATATAAAACTAAGTCTGAGTGCTTGTCTAACATCCGATTGTTTGTCTGTCTTAGTAGAGGCAAAGAAGAAAAAAAAAACTACGACATGTTTTCATCTTTCATATATGTATATATAAATAAAAATCTTCTTTTTTTTTTTTATAGACACATTCTAAAGTACAATCTTAATTTATATAATGAATTCATCATGCCATGTAAATGCTAATTCAAATGTAATTTTATCATTTTTTATTTCTGGTTGTTTATTTACAATAATTGGTATTGTACTTAATTTTTGTTTATGTTTACTTTTTTGTCGTGCAAAATCACTTTTTCATACACCATATGCAGTATTTATAATTGCTTTATCAATAGCTGATATTATTAAATTAACAGCTGAATATTTTTTACATATATTATATTTTTATATTCAACATCCATATTTTGTTTGTTCAATAACATGGTTTTTAACAATGACTAGTGAAAATACATCTTATGCATTTCTTTGTGCTTTAGGTAAATAGAAACTCTTTATCATACATTTAGATATTCTAAAATTGATGAATTGACGATATTTCGGTTGCAGATATAACATAATTTGTGAGACTTTTGATCATTGAAAGTATATAAGAAGAAGAAAAAAGGAATAGAAGAATAATCAAGAAAATTGAATATATACTAAGAAACAATTACACAACTATTTGAGATATATCGAATACTTAATTTTGATTCATGAAACTTTTTCTTCATCTGTAGAATTTTCTTTCTGAAAACATTACTGTTTTGATGATAAGTATAGACTAATCTATGCATATCCATAGTTTGTCAGATTAATTTATATCTGAATTCTAAAAATATGCTTCAATGTTTTACATTTACGATACGATACGAAGATCGTAAGGAAATAATCAAAAATTCATCATTAAAATTTATGAATATACTATATTTAAATTTTTCTAGGTATTGAACGTAATTTAAAAGTATGGACAATAGATCGACGTTGTTTAATAACTCGACGACATGCATATATAATAACTATTATGATTGTTTTATTTGTTATTATCTATGATCATCCATTTCTTTTTTTTCCATATGATGTATCATATTGTTTTTTTAAATTATTTAATCAATTAATATTATTTTCATGTAATAATGCATATTATAATGTATATGGTTATAAATTTTCATTAATGAATTTATTATTTATTGAAAATATTGGTTTAAATAATTTAATATTACCTATATTTATTATATCAATAAATATAAGTTTAATAATTGGTTTACGTCGTCGTGCTTATCAACGTCAACATCGTTTAGGTCGATCAAAAACTTATGATTGGAGAGAACGAAGTGTTATACTTTATATGTTTCTTTCAAGTTTAACATTTATTTTTTTAACATCACCTATTGGAATATTAGGTGTTTGGGCAACATTACATGGTCAACATATACCAACAAATAATTTAGCACTTATATTAGATTTATTAGAAATGATTCATCATTGTTCACATTTTCCTATTTTATTAATGACAAGTTCAATAATTCGTATAAAAACATTTCAAATATTTTTTCAACCTCGTTTATCAAGACAAAATTCATTTAATACATCAAGAGGACCAATACGAAAACATTTTCTTTCGTAATAA